AAAACATTACCTACATTTATCTATGAAGGTACTGATACTTGTTATGAAACTTAAATGACCTGATGATGATGAAAAGAAGATGAAACGCGAAAGAATAATGATGCAAACCTCAGGATCTTATGAGTATGTTTATACAGTTGTAAGTATGAAATAATAATCGAGATGTTCCTATCTGGAAAAATCTAGGACCTCTCGATTGAGATAATCAAACTCTAATTTCTCTAGGGACGTTTAAAACTGTACTGATAATAATGATGATGTTAAAGCTATAAAACATACGGAACCAAGACACAAATTCCAACTTCTCACATTTCATCACGACACCTTTAGTAAGATTAGTTTTTTCTTCGTGTGAATGCGGTTAGTGGGCTATTTGTACATTTTCACATCATTTAAAGATGTAATGCGCATTTTATTGCCCATAGATGTCGCTTTAGGAAGCCAATGGAGCGGTGAGCATTGTCCTTTTTGTACGGACGACGGCACGTCAACATAACCACTGTGGGTTCTTGTGCAGTTGAAATAGGGGCGAGTTTGCAACAAAAATGGGTAACCTGATGTGCTGTCGTGTGTACGTCAGCGTCAAATAGTTCGTGACACCCAAAGCGGCCAAAAAGTTGACAAAACAAACCTTATTCCAATTGTAACGAAGACGTATTGCGAATTTTTTGGCTAATTTCGGTGTCATGAAAAATTTGACGCTGACTGTACATTAGGTATTATGAGGATGAACGATATTGTCAGATGAAAAAATTATATGATCATTTTAAAATGATTTAATCTGGTTGATAATGATTTAATCTATCCTTTAGGCTGGACACAAAGTCAGGTTAAACTGATGAGTTGAACCGACGCTCACACAATTTTTTTACGTGTACGCAAAATTTTTATTAAATTCAGTCAGTTTTTTGGACGTATTGATCAGCTTTATCATCATTTCAGCCATAGGACGTCCACTGCTGAACATAGGCCTCCTCCAATGACTTCCACAAACGCCGGTTGGTAGGGGCTTGCATCCAGCGCCTTCCTGCAACGTTTATGTCATCGGCCCACCTGCGCTTTCCGGTGGTCAGTTCTGCGTACTGTGCCCTGCCCATTGCCACTTCAGCTTGCCAATCCGTCGGGCTATGTCAGCGACTTTAGTTCGTTTACGGATCTCCTCATTTTGTATTCGTTCGAAAGAAACACCGAGCATAGCCCTCTCCATAGTACGCTGTGAAACTTTAAGCTTATTTATGAGGCCTATAACTGATCAGCTTAACTGACCGTAAATATCGAGTTTTACCTAGACACTGCCTAATTGTCTACACACCGCCCCTTCAAATTACACATAACCGATACTTAAAACGCCATTAATACCGATAATATTTCTGATACGAACCCCATTATCACGTTACAAAATCATAAATTTCCTATGACAGTGTCAGCTACACCTTTTATCGCGTCAGGTGTGATTTCCCATACAAATGATCGATTATGGCGTACTATATTTTTATTGGGCCATTATAGGCTATATTAAATTTATTATGGCCAATGGTTTATCTGAGCTTTATTGGGCTGGATTGATAACGATGTAATTATGGTTTCGTGGATTTAGATAAAGTTTTATCTTGTGCAAAGTTTTTCATGCAATATTAGTCTGTAAAAATAGCGCATTAAAAATATGCANAGGAGGAACTAATGACGGTGGTAATATACGAGTAATTTTAAATGTTAAAAATAAACATTAAATCTGTAATCTAATGAAAGAGAGACTGACAAGCCCATGAAGTAAACTTGAAACAAGGTCATGAGGAAAAAGTGAAAGAAAATAATTGCCAGAATTGGTTACAGGTAGATAAGACGCCTAGATGTGAAGCGAGTGGAGCTCGCAGAACTGGCTGGTACACCAGCCGCTGTGTGCAGCAAAGTAGGAAAGTCTTGCTTTCAGAAATAAGACACCAGAATGTTCTACAGTTTAATCGAAGTATTATCAGTAGCTCGCAGAGCTGATGGGCGCCACTAGGTGGACCGATGATCTGGTGAAGGTCGCGGAAGGTGCCTAGATGCGGGCGGCGCAGGACCGGTCTTTGTGGAAATCCCTGGGGGGGGGGGAGGGGGGTTGTCCATTAGTGGACGTCTTTAGGCTAAAACGAGCCGCTGTGTGCAGCAAAGGAGGAAAGTCTTTTGCTATCAGAAATAACAAAATAATACACAAGAATGTTCTAGAATTTAATAAAGTATTTTCAGTAGAACTCTCCATCAGAAAGCTTGGCTGCGTAGATGTGCAGTGCGCGGAACTCGCAGAACTGGTTGGTGCACCAGCCACTGTGGCCATCAGTACAGCGGCACGAATCGCACTCGTCCATGTATTTTTCACCTGGGATGCACTTGAAGAAAGGGTTCTTGATCACTAAGGGAAAAGAACGTAATGATCAAGTCACGGGACACTAAAAGACGAATAAAGACGACTGCAACAGCATGAGCTCTATTTTTACCTTTTTCATCATTAACATTCTCGTATTAAGTCTTTTAGTCTCCACGTGCAAGATTACAAGCTCTCTCTATACTTCTTTCATCAGCTCCACCATCTAGCCACTTGAGTTCGTTGTCTTTTTTAAAATCCATCTCACATGTTAAAGAAGCATATTCCAAAGAGTCGTTTTGTATGTACCTACTCGTAAGTTTCATAAAGACACAACAGCACCATTGGAAATTGGAAGAAACAATTACTCTAGTTTCTGATATAACTCCGAGTGGCGACTACGGGCTGGAAGACGTAGCGTGGGTGAACCCCTCTAGGTGAACCGACGATCTGGTGAAGGTCGCTGAAAGAACCTGGATGTGGGCAGTGCAGGACCGGTCGTTATGGAAATCCTTGGGAGAGGCCTTTGTCCAGCAGTGGACGTCGTTTGGCTGAAACGAACGAACGATTCAATTCCGATATTGGAAAGTTTAAGATTCAGCAGAAATACTCGTAGTATACAGGGTGGAAACGATAAGTGATCTCACTGGATTACTTCTAAACTATACATGATATCAATAAACTAGTTACTGATCCCGTAAGTGCTTCATGAGCTCTATCAAACGGTATTAATGATAGGTTACAGAATAAACTGGATCTATCCGAAAATTCAATGTTTCCAGCTTCCATACATTTGGTAAAGTCACATTATTTTAAAAACTACACATGATATCGTAAAACTGATTACTGATTCTAAAAGTGCTTCACAAGCTCTATCCAATGGTATCAATAATAGGTTACATAATAAACTGGATCTATCCAAAAATTCAATGTTTCCTTCTTCCATACATTTAGTACTACCACAGTCATGACACTCGTCTCTTGACAATATTATAGCAAGTAAAGCCTAAAACCAATGTTTTCCATGAATAATTTTAAATAAGAATACAATTTACGTGTTTATTTTAAGTTTATCTATAATATAAAAATGAATCGCAAAATGTGTTGGTAAGCGCATAACTCAACAAAGCCTGGACCAATTTTACCAATTCTTTTTTTTAAATGTTTGTTGAAGTTCAAGGATGGTTTTTACAGCGAGAAAAGTTTGAATAATTTCCGGGTAAACCCTAAAAAACTCGAAACTTCACCCCTAAGGGTAAAACGGGGCCACGCGTACGAAGTCGCGGGCGGCCGCTAGTTATAAAATAAAATAAAAATACACTTCTAATAATGTGTCTCTGGCATACATTTAGTATGGAAGCTGGAAACATTGAACTTTCAGATAGATACAGATTATTCTGTAACCTATTATTGGTACCGTTTGAAAGAGCTCATGAATCACTTTCAGGATCAGTAACCAGTTTTTCAATATCTTGTATAGTTTAGAAATAATCGAGTGAGATCACTTAACGTTTCCACCCTGTATTATCTTACCAGTACATCTCAAGCAAGGGGTGCTCCTCTCACACAAAGCAGTGACAGTCGGCTCGCAGTACACGCAAGATGGCATGGCTCTGCACGCCCCAGAATCCTGGGCCTCACACAGCAGGCAGTTCTTGTTCTCAGGCACCAGGGTCAAGGAGGTTTCTTCCTCCCAGTACTGGTGAGGTGGCTTCGGCTTCACGAATTGGGAGACCACGTACCTGGAAAAGTGGACTCGTTTTGTTGAAGAAACGGGACGAAAAAGTTAATAAACGCCGACATCTAAGTAGTTTGACAATAATTAATAATGTACTAGTACGAGAGAGAGGAAGCTGATATGGTCGTCCCGAAATTATGGTAGATCAAGCTATATTGGGACGCATATAAATGCCCTGAAAAGAGTCTTGTGCCTAGCTGAGGCGTGGCGTCAGTATATAAGGCATGAGAGCGGAACTGGAAGTTTTAGTGACGTCAAACGCCAGTAAGACTTCAGATGTGCTTCAGACTTCATATGCGCTGTCACCTCAGACACTTACTCAGCTATGCGCTACCTGCAATAAAGAGTTTATTTGAATGAAAACATTTACTTACGCTTGTGATCCCGGCCGATACACCGGAGGGGACTCCTCTCCGGACCCTCCCACGGAGCTCAGCGTGCCTGGCAAAGGTGCTCCTCTGGTTCGGGACCGCGAGTCTATTAGGAACAAATAATAACATAGTATTGTCTAATTAACCAATAACAACTATCGTCTTCTGAGATTTCGGTAAAAAGGTGCTTAAATTTTTAAATTACTATGTATACAGGGTGTTAGGTAAATGGGTATATGAGCCGACACTAGCCCATGTTAACATGAGCATATAAATGGTATGGTGAAGTGAGAAAATTTATTTCTTCATTTTAATTATTTTAATTTTCATACAAATCGGATTTTATAAAATTTATTTTGTATGAAAATTTAAAAAAATANACAGGACCAGTCTTTGTGGAAATCCCTGGGGAGGGGGGGGGGGGTTTCCATTAGTGGACGTCTTTAGGCTAAAACGAGCCGCTGTGTGCAGCAATGGAGGAAAGTCTTTTGCTATCAGAAATAACAAAATAATACACAAGAATGTTCTAGAATTTAATAAAGTATTTTCAGTAGAACTCTCCATCAGAAAGCTTGGCCGCGTAGATGTGCAGTGCGCGGAACTCGCAGAACTGGTTGGTGCACCAGCCACTGTGGCCGTCAGTACAGCGGCACGAATCGCACTCGTCCATGTACTTTTCGCCGGGGATGCACTTGAAGAATGGGTTCTTGATCACTAAGGGAAAAGATCGTAATGATCAAGTCACGGGACACTAAAAGACGACTAAAGATGACTTAGCACGATCACGAGCTCTCTTTTCAACTTTTTTATCATCATTATCATTCAAGTCTGATTCTGCAGGAGCAAGATTACAAGCTCTCTCTATACTTCTTTCATCAGCTCCACCATCTAACCACTTGTGTTCGTTGTCTTTTTTAAAATCCACATGTTAAAGAAGCATATTCCAAAGAGTCGTTTTGTATGTACCTACTCGTAAGTTTCATAAAGACACAACAGCACCATTGGAAGAAACAATTGCTCTAGTTTCTGATATAATTCCGAGTGGCGACTACGGGCTGGAAGACGTAGCGTGGGTAGGCCCCCTCTAGGTGGACCGACGATCTGGTGAAGGTCGCTGAAAGAACCTGGATGTGGGCAGTGCAGGACCGGTCGTTATAGAAATTCTTGGGATAGGCCTTTGTCCAGCAGTGGACGTCGTTTGGCTGAAACGGACGAACGATTCAATTCCGATATTGGAAAGTTTAAGATTCAGCAGAAATACTCGTAGTATATTATCTTACCAGTACATCTCAAGCAAGGGGTGCTCCTCTCACACAAAGCAGTGACAGTCGGCTCGCAGTACACGCAAGATGGCATGGCCCTGCACGCCCCAGAGTCCTGGGCCTCACATAGTAGGCAGTTCTTGTTCTCAGGCACCAGGGTCAAGGAGGTCTCTTCCTCCCAGTACTGGTGAGGCGGCTTCGGCTTCACGAATTGGGAGACCACGTACCTGGAAAAGTGGACTCGTTTTGTTGAAGAAACGGGATTAAACAGTGACTAAAATAATGCCAGCAGCTTAGGAGTTTGGCAATAATAACAATGTAATAATATAATTAAGATTTAGAAATGAAAACCACCTTTTCTTCTCAGCAACAGCCGATAAGTTGTCTTAAAGTGGTGATAGGACAGACAAACTATGTGCATTGGGTACCCTGAAAAAGGCCTACATACTGATCTGGCTCATAACTGAGGCAGTGTACCGCCATGGGAAGATGTTTTTTGACGTCGAACGCAAGCGTTACTTCAAGTGTGCTTCAGGCTTGTTTTTTCTGTCATGACAGTGCCGCTCCCTTACCTCAGGCACTGACTTAGCTATGCGCTAGACGTGTATGTAATCTATATATATAAAAGAAAGTCGTGTTAGTTACTCCACTTATAACTCAAGAACGGCTCAACCGATTTAGCTGAAAATTGTCAGGGAGGTAGTTTAGAGCCAGGAGAAGGACATAGGATACTTTTTATCCCGTTCGAAACTAAAAAAAAGTCTGCTTATTTATTGCCATTAAGGCGGAACAAAGTTCGCCGGGTCAGCTAGTAAAGAACTAAAGGCCCTTTCCCACGGCAATCTTGCATCAATGAATTCCGCAAAATTGGAAGGTTGTGTGACACAAGTGTGTATTTGTAATTCAAATTCCAAATTCAATCGGATCGGTTTCTTGCGGGACTCTGCAAACGGTTCATGTGAATGTTAATATTAAAACACGTATTACTACTGTTAATTATGAAAAATCTAAAACGTTAAAATAACGGTATAGTTGTGGCCAATGAGTTGCTGTCATTGTGACATTGACAATATACGTCAATGTCACACGAGAATCAAACGTCAGAATAGAGGGACGCGCGGAGATGACTCCCCGCGCTTTTGTGCTAAGTGATGTATTGTATCTAAATTAAGGCAATATAATGTGAAAGATGAGTATCCAGTGTTTTATTTGTGAGAATAGACCGACCGGCCTCTAATACTACTAAACGGGATCCTGCAAAAAGCGGGATGTCTCCGTCATTTACTTACGCTTGCGATCCCGGCCGATATACCGGAGGGGACTCCTCTCCGGACCCTCCCACGGAACTCAGCGTGCCTGGCAAAGGTGCTCCTCTGGTTCGAGACCTTGAGTCTATTAGGAACAAATAATAACATAGTATTGTCTAATTAACCAATAACAACTATCGTCTTCTGAGATTTCTATAAAAAGGTGCTTAAATTTTTAAATTAACTATGTATAATATTAATATGCTATTCTGATCGATCACTATATCATAGGAATAGGTATTTAGTACAACTTTTTCAATAGTTTCTCCGTGAAGGAATAATAGTCACCAGTAGTGAAATTTTGATGACCCCTTAGATCAAACAATAGGCTAGTTTCCTAAAAAAATTTTTTAGTCCGTCAATTTAAATATAAAAAAAATATTGGACACGTATATTTTTAATTGTCAATCAAACAAATAATTACAAAGTAATAGTGCGTTGAAGTTCCGCGCGACGTCACAAAGTGCTACACTTTTACGCACTCACTGACGTCACGGGCCTTTTCTTATAACTTTGGCATGCTTTATCTCTTTACATTTTCATTAGTTTTAAAAAGCGAAAAATATGTGTCGATTAGTTTTTGATAAGCTAACTGACGGACTATTTAAAACTCTTGCTTTTTTACTCAGCAAACATCCCTATTAAATAAAGAGTTTGAATTTGATTTCATTACGAATACAAAATAAGACGTCTTCTTTTCACCAAATTAATGTAATTTAGTGTTTATTTCAAAGTTACTTTAACTTGAATTTTCGAGTTAACTGTATTTTCTTGGGTTTTCCTAAAAATAATTCATTGTGGAAATGTAATTTCATCATAGAAGTATTTGGAGAGACGTCTTAAAGTTGAGAAGATCAATGAATCTTTTCAAATTATGGTCAATAGTGTTTCTACCCAATTAAAATTAAATTAAAAAACACGTACCATCGCCATAAGCCAACACCGATACTAAGCCGGACAGCAATATTATTGCAGTAGCCATCACTGTGCTAAAGCACCCCAGTTGGTTCCAAACGCTCCACTGCATGTAGTGTATGAGTGGCTAATTGATCGGCGCATACCAATTATTTGGATTGGCTTACACTGACCTGGGAAATACAGGGTCGGTCTTGAACGGAATTTTATAGATGAACTTTGGCATCTTTTTGTTATTGAATTAGATGCGATGCGAAAAATGTAGACTGATGTAACGTGCTATCACAAGACGTCCACTACTGAACATACTCCACTAATTTCAAGGTTGGTCGATTGCATCCAGCTCCTTCCTTTATGAGGTCATCTGTCTACTTTGTAGGTAGACATCCTACGCTACGCTTGCCATGCCATAAGAGTAGAATATTATTCTTAGTTACATTTTACATTAAATTATCCAATGTGATCATAATTTCATTGTGCATTAACGTTAGACTACAGAGCATGAAGAAAAAAACGCCTCAAAAACAAGCTCTTCTTGAAGAATTGGGTAAAAATACCACTACCCTACTACCATTTTATGACAACATATTATTATAGGTTAGGCAAGTTATATTATGACGTGTATAAGTGCCCTGATAAGGGATTACATAATAATAAAAAATGAATTTAAAAGTTTTTGAAATTGCACACCCTGTATCTTCGGTCGCCAATTAACAACGTTTGCGTATCGGGCCCGTATCGTTACGGTAGAGATTAAACCAGTCTGCAATTCTGTTAAGCTGTTTATTTGCATTGAAATATAATTTCTTTTTAGCCTTTCAGGCAGGCAGATTTGCCTTGTTCAATTTGAGGTATTGCGCATAATTGGGTATTTGACACTATACTTCAATGAGCTAAATACAAACTACAATTTCCCTAGATTTTTAATATCCTTTGACCGTCAACTTTTCAAGTCACTTCATTAATTACTTGATTATGTGCCAACATAGACTTTTTTATTTTACCTTTTAAATCATGCGTATCTAAATATTTAAAAGTGATAAAACTATTTACAAAATAAAAAATATTTCACCCCCAGCGCCGAAGTCAGGAATGTGCCTATTTTATGTGCCTATCTTAAAGAAATAGATTCCCTAGTTTAAACTATAGTAACGATTTTTCTTTTAATACAGAGTTGGTTGACAACTTCCAAAATTAGGATTCTAATTATGAAAGAATTCATCAAATCGATCCAGTCGTTTCGGAGCCTCTTCAATACACAAACATACAAATCTCTGCTCTTTATAATATTAGTATAGATTGAAATGATCATGGGAACGAGTTAATTCTAAATAAAAATTTCACCCAGGTGTATTTCTTGAAGGAAGTATTTCCTACTCCCATACAATTTCAATCCCATACAACAACACATTCATTATCCCTTCGCTTGAAGTCACCGCTTGCCGGAACTTCAAAGCTTTTAAAAGCTCGACAATTTGTCATGAATACTCGTTAATTGATAAATATTTACTAAAGTTCCGAGTGAAATCACTCAATCGTGTATCCTAGAATGGAATTACGATCCTACCTGTTAGTGAGCTTTAGTTATATGAACTTAAGGTTGAAATTAAGCTTTTGGAGTTTAAGATTAAAAATGAAAGCGTTCTGGGTGGTCAGGATTAGAACCACAATGGTCTGCTACTGTTTAGTCTGGGAATTTCTTGAAATTGCTTAACAAAGCGCTAAGTAATTGAGTTTTTTTGGCAGTAACAAAGAGGTTGAGATAGTAATATGATTTAGGTCGTGCTCGTGACTCAAGTTTCGAAGTTAATTTTTGAGGAGTTGTTACAAATCCAAGTCAAATATGTATTACTAAGGTCATGTTTTACCTTACTGTGCTTATTATCATAAATACATTAAAACTGAATATAAGTAGGTTATAAGTAAGAAATATATTTCATAACTTGATCCATGAAATGTGTTAAAATTTCGGTATGGATACTTAGAGACTTCTTAGGTAATATCAGTGCTATCATAACGCTACTTCTATAAGGTACTATATTGTAGAGAAAATTTTGACCGAACAAAAATGTATAAAGCCTAGATTTATGTCTTCAATATAGGTAACTAATTCCATATACTTTTTTAACCGTATAAACATACCTACAGTATTTTTTATCGCCCAAACATATAATACACAAGCAATTAAATACCTCTTTACAAAATTACAATGTTATATCCTTTGTAATGTGACCCATTTATGGTATATTTTGATCCGTATCTCGTACCGTTTCCGTTTCACGCACATTATGGTATAAAGCATGGTATCAATCACATAATGGCGGGCTTACACCACAGAGCTTACGAAATGACACCAAATAAGGTTTCTATTACACGTTTAAGAATGGAGGTAAAAAGTTGCAGGTTTGTAGGGCTGGCAAGTTACGTATTTGCAAACTTAAATCAAATTACTTTTTTAAACTTTTATTAAGTTTCAATAGGATTTTTTTGGACATCAAATTAAAATCACCCGCTGTGCTATACTTAATATATTTGCTAAAGACACATACCGTAATTTTAGCAAATAAATTAAGTATAGCACATCTTCTTCTATAATTTATTTTATTAGTTAATCAAAAGTGTTGCGTTTAAAAAGAGGTAAATAAATACATGCTGTGTGGTAAACTCTTAAAAAATATATTCTGATGGGACTTTAACGTTCATGTACCTAAATTGCTAGCTACCTTTAAACCACACTAGTGTTACAGTTCTATTTGTAACTCTATCATAAGTAAAAAATCAGCTTCATTTAACAACTCATCAAAAATACATATTCTTCATATTAAGAGTTTCCTAACTGCATAGAGACTTGGTAATATTATTTCTTAACTAGCGGCCGCCCGCGACTTCGTACGCGTGGATCCCGTTTTACCCCCTTAGGGGTGGAGTTTCGTAAAATCCTTTCTTAGCGGATGCCTATGTCATATAACATCTACCTGCATGCCAAATTTCAGCCCGATCAGTTCAGTGGTTTGGGCTGTGCATTGATAGATCACTATGTCAGTCAGTCACCTTTGAGTTAATATATTTAGATTCGTACCGGTACTGTTACCAATTTTGACAACCCTGAACGCGACAAAGCGGTCGGAAGTGCGGAATTGTGCGAGTGTGTCAAAAGGTTTGTAATGGCCTCGATTGAATCGATCTGCGGACTTTCAGATGTTACAATTAAGATGGCACACCGACTTAAAGTAACAAGAAGTGCTTGTATATTTTTGTATCTTCTCACGAATTTCGTTTTACATAATACCTGTTTACCTAGAGTCAAATGAAATGAAATAAGTGAGTAGGTAGGTTTTATTAATAATTAATAAAACCTACCTACTCACTTATTTCATTTCATTTGACTCTAATTTCAATCCACGTAGTATTGCAGGTCAGTGAAATAAATTAACACCAAAAACGTCATTTTCTGTCTTTCGTTCTTTAAATAAATAAAAGTTTAAGGCTAAGTTGCACCATCTTATTTTAATAACATACGTCAAAAATCTGTCAAACTCCATGCAACTCACCCTTAGGATTTTAAATGTATTTGTTTTGTAATATAAATTATATTAATTTAACTATGTAGTTTAAGATTAAGTATGATATTTTACATTTACTTGCTGTATGTAATAAATATCGATACGAGATCACTTCACTTATTTCATGACGAATGTTACTTTGTCTAAATTGTAGACTCTAGAAGCTATATTCCAATTTAACTACCGTGTCACATCCAGCAAAACACATTCAATGTTTCGCTATTGAATGAAACCAAACCACACTGCACACCCAGCATTAAATGTGCAAGACCGCCCACCGGCTTATTGTACTACAAAAACTTATAATACAAAAGTAAAGATGACTGCACATCCAGCTTTACATGGTTGCATCTTAAGTAGACGGAATAAGGTGCGATTTTCCATCATAAATTGGTAAAATGATTGTAACATCATTATATTTAATAGGTCTATAATAAGGGGCTGTGGCAAAATAAATATTAACCCTCTGGAGGGTAAATATTTAATGTTATTTTTTATGATTATGCGATTTTAATAATATTTGTTTGAGTAGCTTTTTGGCTGTAATGATATTGGCTTATTAAGAGCTTAAAATCTGTTGATGTAATATTAATACATTATCTTTGGTGTATTGTGGACACGTTAACCAATATGAACAAGAAAAATGTTTTGATTTGTAGGCAGGTTAGTTAAACTTGATTGATTGAAAACTGTGATTCCAATAATGGGAGGCACTTTAAACTACCATCATCATCTCAAACATAGGACGTCCACTGCTGAACATAGGCCTTCCCCAATGATTTTCATATCGCTCGGTTGGTAACGGCCTGCATCCAACGCCTTCCTGCTACCTTTATGAGGTCGTCGGTTCACCATGTGGGTGGACGTTTTATACTTAAAAAAAACTTAAAACCGACCTTTTTTTATCCACATCGAGGAAGCTCTTGGCCTCTATCTCACCTGATGGTAAGTGACGATCAAGGCCGAAGGTGGTAGCGAGAGCTTCACCCGGAATCCTCAACCACGGAGGAACTCCAACTGCCGGAACACAACAATGCTGTTCACATTGTTGTAATGGCGACAGACTTAGGTAAGATGGTGGTAGCTAGCCAGGCGGACTTAGGACAAGCCCTACCACCAACCAAACCGAACAGAAAAATATGCCCCCACTGGGAATCGAACCCGAGACCTCTGCGTCTGAAGCAGGTGGTCTTACCACTAAACCACAGAGCTAAACAAAACCGACAAGCCGTCCATTCTACCGAAAAATAACTAGGGGAGACCTGTACAAAACCGTATACCGGGGTAAAACCGTACTGTATAGATTTCTCCGTTATTATTTCGAAATATGCCGCGCATTTACTACTCACAGCTAGTAACCAATATGATCAATCTGTCAACAGACACTTGCTGCTGCAGGCACGAACGTTAACTCATTATAAAAATGTATTTGTTTTTTTGGTTGTTTGATCTATTTTTTTGGAAAATAGGAGTTTAAATAGTGAAATGAATATAAGTAACAAGT